TTAATTCTGCATCATATTAAACTCGATGTTTCATCGCGAGAGTTTTCGGAATTGTATTTATTTTGATTTTCTTCTTAATTCCCGTTTGTTCTTTGTCCGTTAGCGTGACGTCAGAGGGAGGCTGGCCATCCTGAACCATCTTGGCTTCGTGAAGCGAATCAACGCTCGGCAGGCCGCCATTTTAGATCTTGCTGGTGCCGCCTGTGCGCATCGATTGGTGAGCACTGCCTTAGCCTCTTAAATTGTATAACAATTAGATCCATTGTTCAAACATCGAGTAAGTGCTACAAAGAATGATATTTCATCTTTTATTTCGGATTATTTCATTTTCTATGGATTTCATCTTGAATTCCATCATTTTATTTCTTTATTTTTATAATACAACTCTGTGGTAGTCCCCGCTTCGTGTTTAGATACAATTATATAAATACCGAAATTTATAAAACTTTCGATATTTTGTGATTAAACTTAATTGAATAATTCTGTTCGTTTCAATTTCCATTCGTGAATTAAGTGAACGATGCGTATTGAAACTAAAATGAATTCTGTGAACATTTCAGTATATAGCGTAGCAGGTGAAGAAGCCATTTTGTGGCCAGACATCTTTAAATCTGCTAATCTCCTCAAGAGCCGCCCCCGCCGTGCTGTATTCGCTGGTGCCTTCGAACGGCCATTTTGCCACGCCCAATGGATCCAGTGTCCAATTAGATACCTCGAAGAAAAATTACAGACCTTCCGACCCATTCTGCACCTAGTCGATCCGGTACTTGTTCTATCTAAACAGTCGTTTATTATTTTCTCTTTTGTTCTCGATTTTTCTGAATGCGTTCTAGAAAATTTGTACTAACTTCTATTACTATTTGTAGACGGTGATTAACGAAGTCGTCGTCGGTGAGTCCATTGATTACGCTTCAGTGGGAGTTCGATAGTGGAATGACAATTTATTTATATTGACAAAATATTGAATATATATTTATGTGTCTACGGAGTATTTATTTACACGACTATTCACATATGTGACTAATATTTGTTTATGTCTCTATTTGATATTTGTGTATTTGTATTTCTGTATTTGTATGATGATTTCATATATAGATATAGATAATGTATCCAAACTTGTGGAATGAGAAGAGCTAAACTTGTGTATAAAAGTGTAACATGAATACACAAAGTAGGCGTGCAATTCTTCATTGCTCTGCAGCCAAAAATCTCTGCCGAATAAGATAAAATAGCCAAGCAAGTATCTAACGACTAATTTTAGTTTGGAAGCGATCTGAACAAATATTTTATCTAATCTTTATTTTATCTAATTTTTGGATTTTCTCAAAGCCACGCGGGCCCGATGCGGTACGCGGCTGGCGACGTTTTCATCAGCGAAGTCTGCTGTGCACATGAAAGTAGTAAAAAAATAATCAGGGTAGGTTTTTCTCGCCTAATCCCTGACATCTGCAAGCTCGGATGGTTATTACGGTCGCCGATCGTGCGCTGCTACATATATCTGTTTTTATCATCTCAGTGTCGCTCCCTGTAATTTTAAAACGTTTTATCACAGACTGTGATTCGCGATCTAGAAATCGTAAGTCTGTGTTGATAAGGCAGTCGACTTGGAGTAACCGAAATTCACGAGTTCTCGGATCTATTCTTGTAACTATTCCATGCTTGTACATATAATGTACTTTTTATAAGAAATCTTGCGAACTGTATAGTCAACGGCGTAGACAAAAAGTTGCATTGCACTATGCGTCTATAGAAAATCTTTAGTTCGTGACTTCATGTGCTGTCCGATAATATTTCGTGATGCATGAACCGTTTGCGTATGACAATTTGACAGAGTTCGTGTGACGTCGATACTTTTTATAAGTATCGCACCATGTGCATTCAATAATTATGAGCATAAAAAAATGGTAAAACTATATTTCTCAATGGTATACGTATAATAACGCGTGAACGTAGCAGTGTAAATCGGCAGTAGTATATAATACATTCACGATATACGGTCACGAATAGTTTTCTGCTACCTTCTGTTTGGCACTATTATTTGCATCTGTTACCTTTCCATATTTACTATTTTCCGAGATAAGATACTGTAATTCCTAGATATCATTTGTTATCAAACGTAAATACGACTCGTGCTCAGGAAATGTTGAACTTCGCTATCACAGTGCTACTTCTAATGAGTAAAATCTAAGCTTTAATCTCTTCAATTGTGTGATTCGCAGACTTTCAGCAATTCCAGCAAAGATGTCAGAAACGGTAGATACAACTGCAGAGAAAATTGATGTTGTCCTTCCAAGGCAAGGTTTGCTGTTCCAAGAAGAAAATCTAGATTACATACTCTGCAAGCCCAAGTTGATTCCATTGAAATCGATTACATTAGAAAAGTTGGAAAGCATGCAAAGAGATGCGGAGCTGAAGATCAGAGAAGCTACAGAAGGAGAGGACAAAGCAGAGAACAATGAATAGATTTATGTCTGAGAATTGAGGACAGGACATGTGAGAAGTTTGTGATAAAGCAAAATTAAAAGAAGAAATACAAAATGATTCTTGGAGCATTTCTGATAGAAATCGTGGTAGCATTTTGCCTTGCCGCAACTTTGTTATACAAATATGGAAATATTTTTCGACACCACATCTTTGTTACAATCTCTGTGCTCGTAGCATGGTACTTTTCGCTGCTGATAATATTCATATTGCCTTTAGATGTTTCATACGTAAGCCGAGTTTTCAGAAAGAAACTTTCTATTATATAAACTGTAAGCTAAACAGAAGTTAATGTTAATGTATATGTTTACAGACTGTTTTTAGACAGTGCATTGAACAGAACACCACTAAAGCAACTAGCGATAGCACAACATCGCTACCATTTCATGCCTGCAAAGAACCCTGGCCTATTGTTCCAAAAAATGTATTTCCAAATTTATGGAGAATTGTATATTGGACATCGCAGTGCTTAACATGGTTGATATTGCCACTTATGCAATCGTACATAAAGGCAGGGGATTTCACTGTTCAAGGGAAACTGAAATCTGCTTTGATAGATAATGCTATATATTATGGGAGCTATTTATTCATATGTGGCATTCTCCTAATATATATAGCATTGAAACCTGGTCTAGATCTCGATGGGTAAATATCTGCCATTGATACCCAATATTTGATGTGTAATGATACAGGCGCTACATCAACTTCTACATTTTACAGACAAAAGCTGAAGGCCATAGCTTCATCCGCATCTAACACATGGGGCTTGTTTTTGTTGGTACTGCTTCTTGGATACGCACTTGTAGAAGTTCCTCGTGGATTATGGAATGCTAGCAAACCGGGTTACACATTAAATTACAGCTACTTTAAGGTTGCTAAACTAAGTTTAGACAAATGTGAGGCAGAAGAGACGGTGGATGATATACTAGAGGTAATACTTTTAATCGATGCTTGACAGTAAATTTCTGTGTGCAACGCATTATTTATGCTTTCGTTTAGTCTCTACAAGCTGCTACGGTGTCTATTGGGCCAGGACATCCATTTCATTGCAACTTAGAGACAATCTTCCAAAAGATTCCTGCAGAATTAAAAGATAGGATGAACAGAAGACAACTACCTGATGACACACCAACCGACACACCATCTGAGAAATCTTTGATTCGTTTACATAGACAAGTTCGTTCACATTAAAAACATCGTATTAACATTTACGTATATACGTAAATAAATATTGACGTATCCAATCTTCCTTCAGACTATAAAAGCGTTACAAACTTTGCAACGTATAGAAACACAATGGGGAATCTTGGTCAATAAGATAATAGATTTAGAGGATATAGCAAAAAATCAAGAGAGCCACGACAAAAGATTCAAACCGACTTTCCCGGCGCATCGTTCATTTCCGCTTCGTGTCTTTTACAATCCTGTTATTGGTATGTACCAATGTACGCAGAGTTCCAACCTTTTACTCAATGTTTGCAACTTCTTCAAATTTTTTAGAGTGGTACTGGAAATGTGTCGTAAAGAGTTACGTCCAGAAAATTGCAGCTATTATTGCTGGTTGCCTTTCGGCAGCTGTTGTATGGTCAGAAGTAACATTTTTCAACAAATCTCCAGTGCTGTCGTTGTTTGCTCAATTCGTGAAATTAGCTAAGGAGAATTACGATTATTTTACAATCGAGGTGAGAACGAACACTCAAACATTAACATAATATTTACTGCTTGGACGATCCAGGTTCAGAGTTTCAAGCGACTCGCATTCCTTTGCTTCGAATAAATCCTGGAATAGTGAACCGTACCATCGATACCGACGATAGAGGATCTCATTTATAGAATTGTAATATTTTCTTTCCAGTTACTGTCCACCCTGATAATCGCGTACCTCTGTTACTGTGCTTACTCGACGGTTCTAAAAATTCGTGTCTTGAATTTGTATTATCTGGCGCCGCATCATCAAACAAACGAGTACAGTTTAATATTCAGCGGTATGATGTTGTGCCGACTGACACCGCCGATGTGCTTGAATTTCTTGGGTCTCATCCACATGGATTCGCACATTATTAAGACCCATATATTGGAAACTTATTACACTCAAGTTAGTTCGATGTCAACTACCCCCTAGTTCCCTTCGATCAACGCGACTTAATTCTTCGAATTAATTGCACAGGTGATGGGCCACATGGACGTTATTTCCATTATTTCGGATGGTTTTAACGTGTACTTTCCAATGGCAATTTTAGCATTTTGCCTAGCAACGTATTTTAGCGTAGGAAGCAGATTATTGTCGATGTTGGGTTTCCAACAGTTTCTGGATGACGACGAGTTCACGACGGATCTTGTCGAGGAAGGTCGAGAATTAATAAAGCGAGGTACAATTCCATTTATTTGTGTATGTGTGTGTGTTTATTACCAAGGTTATTATTTATACATTTTTTATCCACCTTGCTTTCAGAGAGACGCAAACGACAAAGAGCCGAGGACTCGATGTGCAGAAGACGCGAATTCCAAGAAAGATTCAGCGGTTCTGCGACCTCATCTCGTTACAGAACGTCGCGGCAGAGCACTGACACAGGTATACAATGTACGGATTATCCTGTGCAACCGAAATAAGCTGTATTATTAGTTCTCGGTTGCAAAACATGCGAACTTACTCGCATATATATATATAAATACAAATCGTCAGCTAATTGCACAAGATGTTTACATAAAATGTTTAGCCTCATTTTGCCTTATGTAATGTTTCTCTTGTGTGATTAACTCTGGCCTTGAGTCGAGACGATACCGAGAAGTAAACACGAGATTTGATTTCGATTTTTGTTGCAGTGAGACCTTTGAAACGAGACGAGTCAGTGGAGTCGGCAAGGGCTGGACTACTGCGTGATTTCGATCCGGCGGATTATTACATCGGCATGACTTCCGGTGTGGAGAGTTATGGTGCAAATAATAGTTATGATAGAGACTATCAGGTAGACGATTTTTACGAAGAGCGTGCAGACAATGCAAGAGCATTTACCACGAACACGAACCGTGTAGGACCCCCGCCGAGGGGACTGTTCGACGACATTTAAAAATTAACCCAAACACAGTTTAGTATTTGCCCAGTAAATGAATTACTAAACGAACACACTTATAGTTAATAAATACTCACATTTAACCCATCTACTCTTGATACATAGAGTTTTTTTTTTTTAATACAGAGGTTGTGAACATCATTATGTGTTTGAATGGTAGAAATAGTATCAAAATATGCTGTCGTAAATACGGTATCAATTGAGGTATGATTTTAAAAGGTGCGATTAAATGAATTTTCAATTTACATGTTCCCGTTGTTCATTACAACTGGATTGCGGATTTTTATGCGATGCGCGTTGTCAGTAGTTTTATAAATATTATGATAAACAATTTTTATTAAATTGATTATAAAATTCTTTATAATGAAAAGTTTGATTAAAATAACATTAATTTTTGTTGATATACACGTTCCCTTTTATTTAATTATCGCAGCTGTCGCGAATGCATAAAAATCTACAGTCTAATTATGACATTATTAAGCGAATAAAGGTAGAGTGCATGATTTTCTTATTAAAACTTTCAGAAAGTTCATTGATTCTATTCATGTTTGTATATTCGCATCATTGGAACATTTATCACTGTCCAAATAAATAAATCATAGAAATAGGTTTTGTCAATCCGACGTAAAACGTTAAATTTCGTACAGTATTTGATATATTTTTAACAATGAATACGTAGACGTAGGGTACATAAATAAACGTAAAATATTCATTATTGTAGTAAATTAATAGAAATGAAAAGTCGAGGTACACACGAATCGTTAGTGTTCCTGGTCTCAATTTTATTTTCGACTCGAAATGCCTGAAAACTTGAATGCGTAGCTTTCGCGTTCGAAATTCATCGTGCGCGAATAAAATTATAGATTAAGTTCCAAAATCTAGGAATAATTTATCTATTCGTTGCGCAACAGTGTAGTTAATTGTATAATTCAATAATTATATGTAAGTGGGTACTTATAGTTCTTGTCGCAAAGTTGAAGTAAAAAGTATTTGCTTAATTGTATTTATATTGCATGAGAAATGAGCTAATTTGCATAATTACAATGGAAACAGGGATGTTTATCTGTGTTACGAACGTGTTAATCGTTCGGTTGTTATTTTGAAGTTTCAACAAATGGAGAAGTTTAATATTTATACTAAATCGATGCTGTCTATCCTAAGTGTAAGTAGAGTTTCATTTGCTTCGATAACAGCAATATGTTTTGTAAATAATAGGTAAATATTTTATTATCTAATTAATAACACAGCGAGACTTTATTTACCATTATAATACTATATGTGCACATTGTTCAATAAACTAATTTATTTTATACCACATGAAATATATATATGGAAAGGAAGAAAGTATTGCTAAAGAGGGGAATATATAGTTCAATAATGATTCCACCATTATGCAAAATAACATTATGTATATTAATTTTATTGCAAATATTCCATACAGATATGAAAGCGATTAAGAAAATATGTGTCCGAAATATACCTGCAATATTAACGGCATCTGCTAATAAATATATTATTAATATATTAAAAAACAGAGTTAGAAATCTCAACAACCCGTTTATTGTCCCGGTAACCGTTTTTATAAAGTTTCCAAACTGTATGAAAAAATAGTTATCGTTCAGCCAATATCTGCTTCAGTGTTACATAAATAGAATTTCTTTTCGTTGTTGTACAATTTTGTACTAATGTTTCTCCATAAAATCGCTGGAATACAGTTCCCTAACAATGTATATAAATATGTTGTTCTACATGGTTATATGTAAGCAAGAACAAGTTTCAAGTAGCATTAACAAATAATAATAATTAATACAATAATTAGATATGCGACAGAACAGTTAACGTTGAATTGTCGTATAAACAAATTTTATGCAAACAAATGCTAGTAAATTAGAAAAATTCATTTTCTTCAATCTTCAATCAAAAGGATCTTTCTACTTCTTTTTCAAAAATGCGTTCCTTTCGAATTTTCTCTCTCTCTCCCTCTTTTTCTCTCGAATGTGTTTTTATATAATCGTTTCCTTTCGTTCAAATTTCTACAATTCTTCGAAGATTAAATTATGTCAAATAATTAATTCTCTGATTCCGTGTATTCGAAGTTTTACAAACTCCTTAAAATTCAGATCGGATTTCGAGAAAGTAGAAGCTCTCTGGGATATCGCTACATATATTATAAGTGACAAAAATGTGTTCCGCTAGGTCCGCATAATCCTCAAGTGAAATAAACTATGTAAAACGTAATCGTCGCTAATATGAAAAATGACAGGGTGTAAGCAATAACAATTTTCACTATTTTCATGTGTTCCGATTGCGCGTACCGGTTCTTCCTGTGCCCGTTCCTCGGTCTTGTGAACTCCGGCATCAGCAGCAACGGCTCCAACAACAACAAACTGGATCGGTTCGCCCTGTGCTCGACAACATCATCTTGCTTGAAACCATGCGATCGGAATACGTCGTTTCGGTAGTTCATCCAGTTCTGCAAGTCGGTGTCATAACCGACGTGCTTTATGCTGCTCAGAATGTTATTGTGGTCCATGCGAAACGCGGCCGCGACTCCGGTGTTGGATATTCTGTTGTAAAAATTACTTGCACAACGGTGATACAAATCCGTGCTGACTACACCCTTATTTTGGCCTCTAATGAGAAGAATATTCGGTAAGAGCGAGGTCCTTAAGTCGAACGTGTCTCTAACGGACCCGTTAAAATAAAATATGCTGGATGCATTCGTTTTAGTATATGCGTAGACTAACAAGCGATGCTGAGTATTATCGTATTGCGAGAACATTATGCCGTTACGTTTACCGTCTTCTGGACAATACTTGAAGCATATAATATCGTTTAGCTGGAACAAATTCACCTCCCTTGCGTTCAACGGTCTCTTTCCGTATACCAATCGGTCGGAGTATACTGGGCTGTTTTGTAAGCTGGCGCACTGTTTGCAGATCTTTTGCCGAGGAAGGAAAAGCGTATTGATCAAGGTCTTCGCGGTCGTTGGACTATATTTCTCGTAATAATCCATTATGTCGTACTCGAACGCGTTCACCTCTTCGTAAACGTGATCCGTGTTTGCCGAATACTTTACGCCCGTTTCAGCCTCCGTGTTCTCGTCCGCGATTACGTTGCTCTGATCAGTCAATTCGTTTAGGAACTTTGCCGATGGTTTGCTCGAGTATTTCAATGGCTCGTTTCCGTAGGTAACTTGTGCCGTTTTGTGCGCCTCGCCTCCTGACACCGTCGAAAGGTCCGCGGTACTCGACATGGCCTCTATCGCCTCTAAATTACCGGGGTAAGCAGGAAAAACGAACTCGTGCCTGGCGTCTGATCCGCTTCTGGTCTCTTCGGACTCTTGGATCGAGTACAAACCGTTGTTCGTAGAAATGATATCGGTGGTAATAAGTTTGCACGGCGGCGTGCTTGTTTTCTCTACGTGCGAAATACCGTATGCGTGTGTCTCCGTGCGTTGTGTTCCTGCGACAGTATCCGAGTGGTGCAACTTGTCGTCGTGTTCTGTACCTCTATGTCTACGTTCTTCCTCTAATCGTAAATGTTCTAAGTGTAACTGGCGGTGGTGAACACACGCAAAATTGTATCAGTTCGTTCGTTCGATCTCCTCGGAGCGTAACTCCCGTTTTATTTTATCTAAGTCGTAAAGAACCTGAAATCGAAATATGAATTTATAGGCTTTAATTATGGAATTTCTATAAATGTATAGATCGAATTTAAAATTTAAGACTTGTAGAGAAAACAAAATGGCCATTTTCTTTGAAAAATGCGGAACATTTTCTGCCGTCATTCGAACCTCTAGGATAGCAGAAGCGCTCCAAGCTTGGGTCCTGCAGCTGTCCTTGCAATACTCGCCGTCCTTGTTGGTCAGTTCAGGAAGACCTCTCCAGTGATTTGTGGAAGCCTCTATGTAATGTCGAGAAATAATCGCTTCGGTTGATTCGATGGTACGGAGCAACTCTTCCTTTCCGCCGACTAGCGGAGCAAAGTACAATCGTGCTCGAAGGAAATATCCCATAGGCCAAACCCATTCCTGTTAAATTCAACATATTAGTATCGGTTTTATTTTCAAACACGTCAGGGTGACAAATAATTCCTGGAACACTATTTACAGGGCCTTGATGGTAATTCCAACCGTGCGCTAATTTAGTATCCCCACTGTCGTTAGAGTTGTCATAGTATCCATTGTATGCCCAATCAGCAGGGTCCAGTGTCTTCATTCCAAGCGGTCCTAACAAAATTTCTTCTGCCTTCTTCAGCGCAGTCCACGCATGTTTCGGATTAAACAATTCTGGAGCCTTTTCGAAACGACGATGTTTTAATTTTGCATTTTTCAATAAATACGATAAGCGATTGCAATACTTACAACTACCATCGCAATTGGGAAATTAGGTCGCAATTGATAATCAGCCCATGCTTGGGTTGCTCCGTGGCTATCTTTATATATCCCACGACGATGGATCAGTTCTGTCTGCAATTCGTTTTCGGTTTTGACTTCATTGACGTAAAAGTTTTTCTCGAAACTCATTGAAATCTTGTCTGCCCATTGCTTGTAGCTCCATGTTACGACAGATCCTGAAAATATTACATCAAGGTAGAGACGACAATAGAAGGTAAATTATGAAGAGAGGAGCCGAGTAAGTCTCACCGTCGCGGTTCTTTCTTTGCACGCTACCATGCGGGAACAGATTCTGTTTGTACAGTTCAGCCAGGAAGCTCAGAATGCTCTTACTGAGCCCCACTATTTCTACGGCCGAGCCGTCTCTCGGTGTCGCAGGTTTCCCCTTGTTACCTGCCTTCTCGGAAGATCCCATTTTGTCCATCCATGTGCCACAATTTGCGTCATTTCCGCCAAATACAAACCCGGTCTCCGGATGTACCCCGATCTGATTATTAAAACCGCGGTCAGTCATATGCTCGTCGATTTGTCTTCCAGCGTTCCTTTCCCTGAAGCACAGCCCTTGGAAGTGAGTCAGCAGTGCCTCTTGGATAACGTCATGAAGATGTTGGTCCTGAAAATTCGTTGCAACATTATCCACCAAATTGCTTGGCAATTTTCTCCAGAATATAGACACTCTACGTACTACTTCCCCTGCTGGCAGTGCTGGCGAATCGTCGGTCGGGAACAGCCGGGAGACTTTATCAGTGAAGATCTTCAAACCATTTGGCACTTCTTGTATGTAACATTGAATTGTGTACAACCACCACCACAAAGAATCTCGGCAGTTATATCTAGGAAGAGAAGTAGTTCGTTATTGGAACAGTTTGGTATTTAATATTGTTGCAGCTTGATGCGGAATGGCTCTTTACCTAGCGTTCTTTCCTTTGTCGAGTAGATTAGGGATCAAACCATGTCGTAGAGTTTCCGCATAACCGAGAATGATGAATCTCGCTTCGGTGTGTCTGCCTGTTAGTATGAGCAATCCTCGCACAGCAATAAAGGTATCTCTTCCCCAGTTTCTCATGTAACCGGTAGTAAAGTGTGGCAGGCCAGCGGACAGTGTCATGCACATTTGTTCGCTCTCTCCGTTGTATTGTTTAATCGGTGGTTTAGGAGGGTCTAAATTAGGCGAGAGATCCGGCAACGGGGAAGATCTTACTACGCCTCCCATTTGTATTGAAATTAGAGAGAGCATCTTGATAAAGGTGGAACCGTCTTTCACGAAGCTAATAACATAATTAGTAGTTAAATATAAATACGAGATATGATACGTGTACTACGAAATAGATACCTTGACATTAAGCTGTAGGACTGTTCGAGGAGAATCATGTAAACGTTTACAACGATGACATCGAAGTAACTGGGCACTAAATAACGAGGTATCAATTTAAACGGCTCGGTAGCTTCTTCCAACCATTTTCCGAGAGCTCTAGTCCCGTCGTCCTCCTTCAGACGTTGCCACGTGTAATCTGTGTGTTTATATGTATTTAAGTATAATACTATGAGTTTAATTAATAGAAGCAGACTATACACTCACCTATCAACCAATTACCCTGTCTCAGATTAATGCACAGTGGATGACCCAGATCGTTGTTTGGACGAATATCCGCCAACAGAGAAATGACACCTGATAATGAACAAAATGTTCCTTAGTTATTGTAGTCAACGAATTATTTGCAAATAGTTTACCTTGCAATCCTGCGTAGACGAGAGGACCGTATCCAGGGATATCGTACACACCGAATCGGTTCGAGGTTTCATCGCGTTCCTCCTGGTCGCATCTGTACAAGGCCTTGTTCAAATCCACTAAATTCATACGGGAAGCTACGACACGTAAGTCAGAGCTCTTTGATGATGTTATCACGGAGATGGTGTTATGCAGTTTCGCGAGAGCAGGTTTTATATTGACGTGAAGCGACACGCTGAAACGAAATGTTCATAGTAAAATCGGCGACAGAAGTATAAAGGGGGAATCATGTCGATGTATTACCGAATTGCGATGATAGAGCCTGGCTGGAAGTTTACAAAATTCAGCTGAGTGATCTTAGGATCTCCAGAGTCAACTTTCTCCAAAACCTCGGAATCGCAGATCTGTATATGCTCTTTGAGACTTAAAACATACTCGGACAGACCGTTTATGTACGTTTCGTCTTGCGTGTATTTCTCTGGATAATGGAAAGGCGATGTCCCATTCCTGAAATCAACGCGATGTCAATCAGGTTTCGAGATGCACGCTAACGGGGGTAATAAAGAAGGAGGTACGAAATGTCTTACTTCACTCCCGCATGAGACAAAGACGCTTCTAAAATAATTTCTTCCACCACACCTTCTACACGCAACGGTTTCACATGCCTTCTCAGATCGTTGGCGTTGGGGTCAGGGTGTTTGAATGCTGTGAAGGCGACCAGGACCACGCTGTCGTGACTCGTCGGAGAATGTCTGGTTACGGCGACTATATCAGTATCCATTTGGTCAACAAAAACCTGTAATTCCGATGATTAGATCGTTCATGATTGATACAATACACAGTGCCGTAAAAGATTGACATACTTGAGAGAATTTCTGCTGTCCAAGAGTATAATGTAGCTCATTCAATGCTTTCTTCCCTAGGATTATGCCTGACTTTGATCCAACATGTCCAATACCGTCCACCAAATCTTCGACGTCTGTCCAAGAAGTATATTGTCTTGTTTCGTCCACCACGTGTATCTGTGGAAATGCATTTGTTACGACAAATCATCTCAAATAGGAATAGCTGTATAAAAGAATTTACATGATGAGGAACTAGTTCGTCGTATCCACGATTACTGCCGCTAGCACACGCTGCCATTGACACGAGTGCAGCACTTGGTAGCAAATCAAACACGCTGCGCTTCTCAACCGGATTAGGGTTGTCGTGGGTTAGATCCAAGAAAAGCGCGTGCGCTATGCCCGGTACTAGAGGCCGTTTACGTGGTTGCATGAAAGCTCCAACTGGTTCGCCTCCGTATCTGTATACCAATCGACCTTCCTCGTGACTGTCCCACGCTGACATTGCCTCTGTTTCGTCAATCATCAAACATTTAATAGCAATACCGACTTCGTTTCGCAAGAGTATCGCAAGCAAAATGTGAATGTTCCGTACCCCTAATTAAAGAAGTAATACCAAGACGATTCACAAATATATTATCCTTCTGATCGGAATTTGTAAACAACTCTGCGACAACGTATAAATCTGGACGCACTCGACGAGCAGCATCAAGCATATACTGAAACGTTCGAGGATACATACGTTAGAGATTAGTATGAACTTCTGTATACTTTAGTTTCGTTTGTTGAAGTACCTCTGCGACCGGAATTGGTGTCGAATGACAATTGTCCAAACGGATCCCATCGAATATCTTAGCTGTCTGTTCAACATAAGCAGTCATATGTTGCCACAAAAATGGACTATCTTCTGGTTTTTCGCCAAACCTGTAGCACATATATCAGCATTTAACAGGAATAATAGAGACCTTGAAACCCTTTAATCTGAGAAAGAAGTGTTCGTGTTACCTTAATTTTACACTGTCGCCCCAAGCAATTAGCTCTCTTCTTATATAAACATTGGAATCGGGATCTGCGAAATTTTTCAAAGGATCGCTATTCATCACCCAACCGTTATGAACCATCAAATAACATCCTGCGTCAGAATACATAGTTGCTTCTCTTTCAGCCAACGTTTGAGGCGCTCCGTAGTCAGTAAAATATCTGAATTGTCATTAGAAAGATCATTCGTTATGCTTTAAAATAAGAAAGATAAGCAAGGTCCGAAAGCAAGCAAATTTGTTCGAAAGAGGAATACCTAGGGACGAGAGGGTTCCTTTCACTTATTTCTTTAAGCCTTGGTCCGTCAGGTTGAACTCTGAAGTATCTGATACCGGCAACAGTGTTCTCAATCGCAGCATTCAAATGGTTTTGTACCTCGTTGATTATTCCGTCGTTAAGCTCTTGCAACTTTTTTCTTAAATCTTCGGCACATCGTTTCAGACGAGTCTCCTCGTCGAAACAATCCACTCTGTAATCACATGATACAACAATGATAAAAAAAGACATTGTATCGTTGTTACGAAACAATTTACCTATATATATTGTATTTTTGCAATGCAAGCTGCATATTTATCGTAGCCTTTAATCTACGGAATTTCGGGTCCTGTATCACTTTAATATCCTCCGATATTGGCTCAGCAATGTCCTGAGGCATTTGATTTCGTGCCAAGTTCAGAAATTCGGCAATCGTTTCGTTGATGTCTACTATGTATAATTCTTGTATTTTTATGAGCGGTAGAAAATATGTATGCAGTGCATGACGAATCGACTGAAATCATAAAAGGATAGTTAATACGTATGGCACAGTTGTTGTTATTACAAATGTAATTTCTTCGATTTACATTTAGATGTTCTTCGGTTTCAACTACCGAAGGAATACCCTTGAACTCCCATTCTCCAGCAGCTACTTGTACTGTTAATTCAAATAGTGCAGCATCCAAGATATATGCGGGACGCAAATGAGGACTGTTCACGCAATTGTATGTACATTCTGGGTGAGATACTAAGAAATGACTTTCGTTGGCCGTGTGGTTCAGTACAATATCACATACACTTAACATCTGTAATTGGATAACATTAAAAAACAAATCGTTCCGTTTAGAGGAAATTAAACAACTTACATTCCACTCGTTACGCATTTTATTTGTGAATCCTTCAATATCGTCGAATGTAACTGGTTTATCTTCATTATTAAAGGATGGATTTAATTTCAATTGATCGCTGAGGCTATAAGATGATTTAGAGGATCCCAGTTCCTAGAAAATAATATAATTATTATTAGAAACTACACTGCATGTGCGTAGACGCTATGCAACTGTTACAAATTAATATTACCTGGATTGGTGTGAAATGGACTACATTGTATCCAGAATTTCGAGCTACTAGAAGCTTGTCTTCCCATGTGGAGAAGGGTCCTAAACACTTCGCCAGAACAGTTTGACATTGGATACAATCTAATGGCAAATTTTCTCCAGATGCTCCAATTTTAAGTTCTGGATCAACCAATAAGTATCCAGAAGCAATAGGTTTTGTGCCTTCAGAACTAAAACATTTAATACGTTTTAGATAGTTAATATTCAGATTCTACGTGTAATAATACTTACTTAGGATCTGTAAGATAATAATGGAATGAACCAGCTGAAGATAAACATATGCTAGCTGTCTCATTTGACCACTCTAATGGATAATAGGTGTGTCTTTCGAATGGCTGAGTGCTGCTCAAAGGATAATTTATAAATAGATCAAGTGTTTTCCCAAGCAAGGAAGCGCCTAATCGAAATTCCACTCTCCATCCTGTAAGAAATCATTTTAACTTTAAATAAAATTTGTACAAGAACGACATCTACATATTTATAATGACATACCTTTCTTTAATCTGTATAATATACCATCAAGATGTTCTCCATTATTTAAAGTTAAGACTCTTATTTGTTCAGAGTCCACGCTTTGAGACGATGACATATGCTCTGTCATATTCTCTGCCAATACCTGCAAAAATATTTAATTATTTTTTTGTAACTTCTAATGTCTATATGTATTCTGTAGATTGTACATAAGAAAAATTTATAGTATTATACTTTCACAACATATTTCTTGTGCTACACACCGTACTACAACACTAAATAATCCTGTTAATAACACAACAGAGGACTTCTGAGGGCAATAGATACTAAATAGAAAGTAAATAAAGAATTTATCTTAACAGATACACTGAATTTACTGAAATGATTTGAAGTTAACAAAACATTTCGAACTAAGCGCGTAAATCCATATTACACATGCAAAATAAATTGCTCGTCAAGAGATTAGTACTTACACGCGAGATGCGGTAAATGGATAAATACTTAGGCCACGACTCCCTTAATATAAGTTAGCAGCACAAAGCAGTTAGCGAGCGTACAAGATGCATATTACATTACAAGGTTCCGCTGCACGAGCATGCACAAAGTCTTGAGCTATTCTCATCTAGATGCTTGGATTACCTCTTTGTAATAGTAAAGACAGAAGCAGACTTCCCACTATATGATATTAATTGTATATTTATTACTATAGTTCTATGTCTGGCACCTAGTTTAATTGTGACTAATTTTAACAGACAAGTTATTGTGATTATTTACCTGTTGTAGCATTAGTCTAAACATTCAAAAAAGTATTCTGTTTCAATGTTGTTAGAATGAAAATTTTAGTATTAAATACATAATAACATGTACATGTACATGTACATACATTAAATGTTAATGATCTTTGACCGAATCACTGTGATTACCTTGACCGAGTGTTATGAAGACAATGCATTATCAAATGGTAATTAAATGAATAATGAGCCCTTATCAGTCATGACAAATGATGCAGAAGTAAGGGGAATTATTGGAGACCAATTGATATAACTGTTGAAACTTACATAATAGCAAAGACATTTTAAGTAGTGACAACTGTAAAGACTCCGAAGAATGCTCCTAAGCTTCCTGATTAGTGCCTTTGATGCATTTCGAACAAAATTACTTATTGCAAGCACAGAACCCATTCTCAAAATAACGTAATCATACAGCTGAAATCACTTGTTACTAAGCGAAACGAATTCGTTAAATTAATTGTATATTATCACAGCTCTTATCACAGTTGATTTTTTTTTGTTACTTAAGCAAAGGCCATTTCCTATAACAAATGCAAAGATATATGTATATAAATAGAATTGATGATAAACCATTAATCGCTTTCAGTAAAAAAAAAAGTGTCTTCATTCCTTTTAAATTAGTGATAAGAAAATAATCCGAAAATATTAGTTACTAATATTTACTGTATCGTATTATTAAAACAAGATATTATGTTAGAGAAAAACTGCTTTATTTGTTCTTTCAATGTACAATGTACAATGTGATTACATTCGAAATACAGTAATATTAATTTATTTATTGCTTGCATTCGATTTTTAAACAATGTTAAGAACGCGTGTTTATATAAAATTTTCGTTTAATAAAATAAAGATCCC